AATAAGGCGATCTCCCTTTTAAAAAAAAAATAATCAAAAGTTTGCATCGCCATTACAGAACGCACTCCTTAAATGTTATACAAATCTAAATAATCGAAAATTTGACATTTGATAATTCCTATGAAAATTCCAAAAATAAAATTTTGAATAAATGCACATTCATAGGGAAAAATAATAGTGTGTGATGCTTGTAGTGAACTAACCTGCACACAGAACGGTAATATAATTGTAATAATACATAAGTGCTTAAAAATTAATCATCCATTAATATGTATCGCGGATTCGCGATTGTACATGGATATACGAAATACGATAATCGTATGTTGACATTATATATTATTACTTGATACTTTTAATAAAGCTCGGTTTTCTAAAATGTTACGACTTTAGCTTGTAATGCTGAATAATTAACCGGATTATTATAAATTAATCACCTGATGCTTTGCGTCTGGCTTCCTAGGTCGCATCGTCCTTCTCATCCTCGTCATCGCCATTAACTATTAAGTGACCACTTATTTTGGATATATTTTAAAGATATAGTGTACCAGCTAGTGCACCACCATTATCGTCAACTACGGAGAAGCTAAACAATTGTCGGAGTCAATTACAATTTCAAACGGAAATGCATATGGAATGAATTTGAGTTCCGAGTTTCCGACTGTGTGTAGTTGGTCGTATGTTAACAAAGGAAGCCGCATAGAACATATTTTATAGGTACCTATCATTAAATACATTTGAAATAGTATTATTTTATTTAATGCATCATGTTATACTGCTCTTGGCCTAAAAACTAAAAATATAGAAGTATTTTAGATAATTTTGAAATTTTGAATTCCCAGCTGTGGAACCTAACCTAACCCGCGCATTAAACGGTTAGTGCGTGTATTTAAATTTAATCCCACCGGTAGTAATAGATGCGGAATGTTTTTTTTTTTCGTATACCTACTTATAAATATATAATATATTATTATATTAAGTCGGCAGTAAGCAGATTACCCGCCGCTTTATATTCTTCCGGGACGAGAAAAAAACCCAATGAGATTGTTGATAAAATATTGGTATAGGTAATAAGAATAACTAATAACATTTTTTTCCGCTTGTAAAATAGTTGTATTTGCGCTAAGCGATTAACTAAAAATAAATTATTGAAAAATCATTAACTCATATTTCCGTGATACATAGTACTATAAATAGTATCTATTATGATTTTAATCACGAAAACGTGACGTCAATAATGTCACTTCCCGAATGATTAAAATAAAATATATCGTCTGTTTGACAACACGTAGGTAAACCATGTACTTCACACTCGATTGCGATTGTGTGACTATAAATTATAATGTACATAATATTATATTATTATAATTTATAACGCAGTAGTTATACAATTTTACTTGCAACCACGGTTTTTCATGACGTGCGTGTCCGTAGAATGAATTCATCACTTGAACTTTAAAGTACATAGATGAGTGGCGAAAGTCTTGTAAACTCTGTATTTATGGTAATTATTTAAATAAATAACGTTCACGTCGTATTATATCTAAGTATAAACGTCATGAAATCGAGTAGAAAACGTAAGTTTAACATGGTTTATTAATTAAATAACCTAAACAAAATACGACTTTACCGTAGCCATTTTTCATCGGCCATTTTCCACTAAAAAAAAAATAATAATAAAAATCTCCAGACCACTTTTCTCCAATAAGGAATTGAGTATAATATAATAAATGTATTTGCAAATCATATTATATTAACTGAAAAATGTTCTTTGAATTAACAACATTATGCTTTCTTATAATTATTTTATCATCTTTTTGTCAAGTTAGGTTGAATACAAATAAGATATAAATTAGGTAAAATATCGGCTAAATAATTTAATGTTTGGAGAAAAATGGACATCATTTTAGTGCAGTGCGGATCAAGTGATATGATGTAGAAGGTTGAAATTCTCACAAATTTCACTACCTTCGAGAACTAACTATTAATTGTACAGGTTGTATTGAAATCATTGTCCATTAATGATATCTGAATTATGTGCTCTGTAGCATGACTGCGTGTGGTACCTACATCGGTATAGGTATATGGTATGTATACATACAGGTACACATACGGTTGTTCCACCGACTAGTAACGAACCATTTGGTAACGATACTTTGAAAATAAAAATCAAACAATTAATCATATAGGTATAATTTCTTCTTTATTAATTTATAAAAAAAGTGCGTTAAAATGTTTTGATCATCAAACAATAATCTAAATTGTGCATATATTTATAATTATATACATATACATTTTATATGTATACATAAATCGGACTCTGTTTAAAAAAATGTACAATATTATTGCCGATATAGCATCCGCGAAGGCGCTTTCGGGCATATTTTTTCACATTCTGACAAAATTTAAATTGTGTTTTGCTCCTAGCCATCTAAACTCTATGGACGACACACAAATGTCGGTTTAAATGCATATATAAAACGCCGTCTAACAATATAATGTCGATAATTGTGACAGTAAAATAATTGTTGTTAATCTTTTCTCTCGTCGTTTCCATACGAGTTTATACATTAGACAAAAAAAAAAAAAAATCGGACAGTGATAGAATAATATATTATATTATATTAGGTATAATAATAAGCACACTCTCGAATGTCGTATGCTATTCTTATTGACAATTCAAACCGTTCGCAGCGAATCGTGTACGACATTCGGAACATTATACAATATAACATAAGTATATTATGTCAATTGAACCGTACAAGCAAATATTGTCGTGAAATGAATCGTTGCAAAACCATCGGAAATACAATAAGTAATAACAATTTGGGCCTTGGGATTAAATTCCCGACAAATCAAAAACTTGTTATAAAATAGACATTGTCGAAAATATGGTTTAAATATTATAAATTAACGCGTAAAGTCGTGAATAATATTACAATAACTACATCATTATACTAATAAACTATACTGCGACGAGGTTAAGATTAGAAGAAATATTTGGCTGGGTTGCAGGAGTTTTATTTAGGGGGAGGGTCAAAGCAACCCAAATGTCCACTAATATTACGAAGCGATTCGTTATAACTATATACTGTTATTATTGATATTTATATACGTCGACAATATAATATTGTGTATTATTGTTGTATGAATTTGGGCACTATTATTTGCCTAAGTTAATAATAATGATAATGTTGTTTAAAATACATTTTTGTATTTTAAATGAAAATTCGTCTGGGTTTTGAACTATCGAGGTTTTGATTTGTCGAGATTCTGAACGAATTCCTAATAATAATAATAATATGACAGGAGCAGAAGACCCAGTGATATTATTATATAATAATAATTATACATATAAACTATTCCACTACGTAGTAAGACATATTTTATTATTGTGTGCTGTTTATTATACCTATACAGGTAGGTATACACAGTTGTCTGGATACAAACTCGAATATAAAAACATTTGTATAAAGATATATTAATATTAGGTATTTAAGTATGTGCGCGCGCACGCGAGCACTTGTGTGTGTGCGTTTGACATTGGTTATGCAACTTCTATCGGCTATATTATGTTATGTAACGTTTAAAATGATGCAATTATGTGTGGCAAAAACAGCTTAATGGGTCGTTAGTTTATAATAATAAATGAAACGGGCCAAAATTTAAGTTGACAAAAAAAACAAAAAAATACAAATAAAAAAATATTCGATAATTAAATTATTATAATAGTTATACATAATAATAGTATGTATGTGGCGTGTGTGTATATAATATATATGTAATTAAAAGTAGTAAATAAATAAACAACATAAAATGTACAATAATATTGTAGTGAATTAATACGTATGTGTACCTATGTACAAATGGTACCAATGTACATATACCTACTATATCAACACGGTAGTATAATATTAACAAAAAATAAATAAATATACACATACAATATGTCAATATATATATTATATATCCATACCATAAATTTTAACGTACACTTGTAAAGATTGAAAAACACATATATTATAATATTATTTGTTATGATGTACAACAGAATGATGAAGGAAAAAAAAATAATGATAAAAAAATAAATAATAAGTTAATAATGCGGGTGCCGAAGAAGAGGATAATAATATATAATATAATATTAATTTGGAAGCATATTAAGTTATAAGGGGAGATTACGAGTGTGTGTGTGTGTGTGTATGTATAATAAGTAGTAAAACGCAGCGCTTTTGTTTGATAAAAAAAAAAAATTAACATGTTGTAATTCATCCCGAAGATGATAATTATAGATCGAGGTAACGAGTATGTATATAATATAAGACAAAAAAAACATTTATTATTATTTTTTTTAATATTATAATATGCACTTATTATATTATATAGTATGTATATACCTACCTACCTACCTACATACCTACCTACCTATCGTTGAGAAGCAGTCGTAATTACTTAACAATATTACCTATTCATAAGCCTAAGGTAACATTCGAATGACTATAAACAGTATAATATTATATTTTATATATTATTATTATAACCGTTCGCTACACTATAATATATAATATATTATTATAATATAATATAGTCGTGTATTATATGTATATTGTTTTATATTATATTGAATTATAAAATTTGATTAAAAAAATATATATATATATATTATATTAATAAAATGGTTCGTGGCGACGTATAAATTAATGCTATTTTTTTCTTATTTTTTTTTTTTTTATTATTAACGTCTTTATAAATCGCGAGTGTATGCGGTGGTGTCTACGTGAAAGCGCTAGTGCGGCGGTGAGCGTATTATTTAGGGCGAGATTGAATGAAAAAATCGAGGAGGAGGAGGAGGAGGAGAAGTAGAAGAAGAAGAAGAAGACTCGCGCGGCATGACGTGCGCACGTGTGTTTCGTTGGATTAAAAAACAAACTAAAAGCGATAAAAAAAAAAAAAAAACAAAATCGAGTAGAAAAATATCGCTTGTGGTTTTTTTTTTTTTTTGTTTTGCATAATATCATAACAATTTATAATATTGTACAAAAGAAAAACAAAAATAATATCTAAAAATGTATGGGTGGATGAAAAAAAAAAAACAATCGTCGTCGAGTCGGAAACGGATGAGAGGCGTGTCGGCGTACACGACAATAATATTAGGTAAAATATTTAATAAATTTAATTCATAACGTGCGTATACGTAATATTACATTATATTATTATTATAATTATTGTGCGTAGGCGCGCGAAGAGGGAACACGACGGCGACACACGAAAAAAGGGTCGTCGTCGTCTATTGAATAGGACTCGCGGAACACACCGTGCTCGACGGAGCAGTGGCGTCATCACCGCCGCCGCCGCCGCCGCCGCCTGTAATGTCGTCGTTGTCGTCGTCGGCGTCGTCTTGGTCATCGCTCACTGTTGCGACCTGCTCTTGCCGCCACCGCTGGTGCCCCCCGGCCCGCCTCCGCCGCCTCCGCCGCCGCCGTTCTTCCGCCTCTGCTTTTGTTGCTTTTTCTTGGGCGACTGCACCATGCACGCGCACCCGCTGCGCACCTTTATGTAATCCAATTTCCAAACGTTGTTGTCGTTCGGGAACAGCGACTGGAACGTCTGCTTGCCGCCGTTGTTGTTGTACTGTCCGCCGCCGCCGCCGACGCCGTGGTGGTGCCGGGCGTTCTCCTCGCGCACGATCGCGTACGAATACGAGTACCGCTGCACGCACGTCGAGTGCCCGTGCAGCTTGCGCTCCATGAACAAGCAGGGCTTGCCCTCGACGCCCGGCTTGCACGACACCTCGTAGAACCTCTGCTTGTCGGCCCCGTCACTGTAACAATGAACGTTTATAATATATTATTATGACGATATAACAACAACAATAACAACAACAACAACAATAATATCAGAGATTGACGGCCGACGTCGTTGGCGTAAGCCAAGGGGGGTGGGTGTCGTAACACCCCACTCCCTAGAAACCCCTGGTTATGCGCCTAAAACGACGAGCGTTTTTTTTTTTGGGGGGGGGGGGTGCCCCGTTTCCCTCGTCGGCTGTTTTAGGGATATTTTACAAAATGTATATCATTTTCCCTCAACCGAATAAACCAATTTGCAGCCTTCAACGTATAATAATGGCGCACCTGGTACAAAGAGGGGAATTTTGCCAGGGTGATGGGTAATTGTAGACGCTTATACAATTCTTGTTGTTGACAAATTACAATATTTATCTCGCTTATTATTATTATTGAAAATATTGTATTTATTCTTTTATTTTCATTATTTAATACCAACACAATAGCCACGTCACGCCACCGCCACATATTTACTTCACCTCCCCTATTAATACGCCAGGTGTGGAATTGTGGTCGTGTATATATTATAATACATATATATTATGTTGAGGGCAACTGGTATATTATAGATGTATGGATTGAAGACAAATAGTGAATTTTACTCTAGATAGTTTTTTTTTGGGGAGGGGGGGATTTGTATATAGAAAAATTAATTTCGAGGGTAACTGATATATTATTCCTGTTCTAAGCTCCCCGATGAATTGGTTACGTACAGACCGTGTCCAGTTCATCTTGGCGCTAAGCAACCGTTACGATTTTTTTTTTTTACATAGTGTTTTAAAAACGTTGTTAACTTTTTTATACTATTTTAACTTGATTACCGTATTTTTTAATTATAATTAGTTTTCGGACCACTGTTTTACGAAAATCGTAACGGTTGCTCGGTGCCAAGATGAACTGGACGCGTTTTATTACTTTGTCCAGTGAAACAAGTCTACTATTGACGTTTTGTCCATCAACAGATTTTAGACCTTATACATCCCAGAATCCCAACTTAAGCAATATTTATATCATTATGACTGCGGTGATATACGATAATATATCACACCACTTCAATATTGCATTACATCTGCACAATGCAAAGCCTCTGTCATGTGAGCAATTCACTTACATAGGAATAGAGTGCAACTCGACCGCTCCACGACTTGTGTATGAGTATGACTAAACATTATAATTCAAAATTCAAAAAATGAATACCAGTGCCTATGGATAAACATTGTAAATGAGATTTCATTTAAGTCAATGTTTCCTTACGTGAAATAGAATCCTGGGTTTCGGGAAGAATCTCAAACACCAATAATATACCTAAAGTACGCTACAGCAAGTGATCCTATATCCCGCGCCCTCCGTTTATTATTCTCGGCCCACCTCCACATGTCAATGTATCCGATGGCCGGTGACATGCTCAACTCTACCCCTACAAATGCTTGTCTATATTATAAATAATATTATCATAGGGGATGATACGCGACACTATACGAACGAACACTTGTCACAGTTGCAAATGATAGGAATCCGTCAATTGGCCTGTATAAAAATTAACAATAATATTTTTTTATAATTGCAGGCTGAAGACAACCATAATTTTATATTTCTATAAATAATGTATAGATCCGTGAGGAAAATGTCCAGATGAGTGGTTGTCAGCAAAACTGTAAATTTCGTCTCTCTGACTTACGAGCAATGACTATATTTAAATATTGAGTAAGCAGACCCTTCGATCTCGCACTATGGATTTTCATAAAAGAGTGAGTTTATCTGTATTATCAAATTTAAAGTCAAGAACATTATCTGTAGTACCTATGTAGAATATTACAACTTTAAAATTCTTATATTTCACAAAAAAAACGAAGTGCTTAAAGTAAAAATATTTGCCATGTTGCATAGAGACACGGAAATCCTATCTAAGCTCCGACCATAACAATGTAGAACCGGAAGGAAAACGCTCCTATTCCCGGACGCCTTCTGTTATCAGTTATCACATAAGGATATATTATTATTATTACAAACGATTCGTATTTGGTAGGATAAAAACGATTTTTAGTTTTTTGTTCGTCCACTCGCCATGACGTGTGCGTTTATAATAAAATATAATATAGAAAGCCTCCTCGATGGTTCAAAACGTTTTCGGAAATGCAATGCAATAAAACGAAAAATTCAAAACGAGATATCGTCGTCGTTGTCGTCCTCGTCCGTCGTTTGTTTTAGTGTCGGAATTTATGTATACCGGGTGATACATTTAACTAAGACACTCTTTATTTCAAAAAATATTTTTTTGGGCAAGTATATTATATAGGTATTTAAAGTTATAAGGCTCATGATCAATCATGAACTACTCATCCAAAATTCGATTTTTATTCATCAAGAACTCCAAAAAATATTCTTCTTTGGGATAAGGAATTAAAAATGCATGAGGTCATTGAAAAAGTAAAAAAAAAAACATGCAAGCCACATGCTCGAAGTTGTCCACTTATAAAAAAAAATCTATGAATCATAAATATGTTAATAACTAATAAGTAACTGTGACGAAGAAAAACGTTGCGCAAAATCAGTTGGAGTCAGAAAATCAAGTAATCCATACACCCAGCCTAAAAACATAATATTTATGTTAAGAAGTTTATGATTATTATTTAGTTTATTACAATGATGACGATGATGTAAACAAAATTTAAAAAAATACCTAGAAATACAATTTTTCATTTTTGAATAGAAAAATGTTTTTAAAGACTATTAAAATTTCGTAACTAAAATATCTTCAAAACTACTTCGATGGTTATACACTCTAGCGTTAAACGAATCACCCGGTATACATACCTATACATATTCTTTGCCGCCGTATACAGAGATTCTATACGATTGTATATAGGCCTCTCGGTCCTCGTCTACAGTCGTATATTTCTATATGCCATGGTAGGCAAGCATATAAGAGTGTAATATAATATTTTGTCAACTATTAACTCGCGTGGAAGATAACGAAAATCGATAATATTATATTATGCAGTCGCGCCGCTTCGTGTGCGATTGTAATTGCAGAAAAGCAGTAAAACATTTCATTGAATAAAAATGCGATTTATATAATATAATTACAGCAAGAGCGTATCGTTTGCGTTTGTTTACGCCGCCGCCGTGCGTATAAAATATAATAATATAATATGCAATATTATGATAATATTATTATATACTACAATAATGTACAGCGATTGTCTCACGCGAGTGCAATACCTGCACGTCCTGCAAGCCGCCAATAATTGTCCGTGGTATCTATATATGTAGAACAATATTATTTGTACACAGGATAATCCACCAAGTATAGGTAAGCCCTGATTCCCCATTCCTTCTACTAAAAATACATTTTTTTTAAACTTCCAAGAATATTTTCAATTGTTAAGATTGTATGCACCATTCAAGGCGAGTGTCCTGTGACGATGCAGTCTTATATTTTTTCAAACGAGAATCACGAGTTCATTTCATCTGATAGTTTGTTAATCAGATGATTTTTTTGAAAATGTTAATGTAGAAATTCGAAAGAGTAGTTTTCGAGTTGTTTATAAATTGATGATGCACCTACTACTAAAATGATGTGTTAATGGTATTGGGTTTACAGTGGCTACGATTGCGTGAAGACTTGAGTATATGATATTTATATTGATCTACCTATTCACATTTTATAATTATTCGTAAAAATTTCCTAGTAATGGGTATAATAAAATATACTTGATCCAATATTACGTTCTATTCTATATTTTTAAAACCGTTGTTGAGGATTATTATCTTTATAATAGTATATAAATGCACATTACTAACTAAAAAACCACTCGTTTGTATTTCGATTTAGAAACAACGACATTTTCAAAAAGATCATTCACTTAATGATTTGCAATAAACATCATTAATTTCACAGTAAAAAAATAAGTCTAAAGTTAGCCTGTACCTATATTCATATAATATTATAGAATCACCCGATGAATCAACGCGTTAAAATATATGTTGCAGACCTCGTGTGTCATGATCCTATGACGGATAATCGGAAAACAACTATTATCATATTAATTATTATTATTACACGTTACTCTACACTCGTGTAGGTAGAATATAATGTATAGAATTATATTATATATGTTTACCTAAAACCAAGAGTGGACTAATACTATCGCGCTGTTAGCCGAACTCTGAATATATTTTATATCGTACGTCCTTCGCGTCAATTGATTTCATTAATTATAATTCGTGAACACGGTGAGATTTTGCAAAAACAAAATATAATGTTACCTATGTTCGCCGATTCCCGACATGCTGGTTTTGTGCCGTGCGCGTGAGTGTACATTGGAGAAAATCACGATTTTTCGACCAAAACGATTAATGATTCAAATATACGACGATCGATAAAATAAGTCACTCGCAGACGATTCGATTTTTGTCGTGCGGTAATTGATCGGATTTCAAAACAGAGCGCCTCCGACAAACACACATAATATAATATTATTAAAATTATTATAATGCAGTGGTTACAAAAAAAACCACTCCGATCATCACGATTATCATCTCAAAAATGACCATGTTTTTCCCACGCTAAAATCATTTTCTCTACGCTCCACGAGGTCTGATTTATTAGTCGTAGGTACACGGTTGATTCGTTTTTAATACAAACAAGTTTTATTAGATTACTGAGGTACGAATGAAAAACAAAACAAAACAAAAAAAATCATAACAAAAAGATTATTGTGAACTTTTAGTGTGTTCATTTACGAGTGATGCACATATGTTTTGAAGTTTTGAATGTATATATATATATATTACGTACGTGTGGGTAAATCACAATATTTATTATCATAAGATCGAGTTAGATTTTATAAGCGTAAAAAATGCAATATTTATCGTGCGATGGTGGAAGCCGGTTTATGAGTAGGTAACCAGGTAACGAACGGTATTACATAAACGCGACTGCAGTCATATTGTAATAGATAGTAGATGCATCAAATCAGTTATAAATTATATTAATATTCTCGTTTTACTCAGCTCTGCAGCGCATAAGAATTGTGGATGTCCAGATCATTTTTGCTCACGATATAATTTGTAGGAAATTGTGAGTTGTGATGTTATATAATATAGGTAGGTTATTATAATTTTCATGTTGAAGGCAGTGACACACTCCTCTTTCTTCTTTTTTTTATCAATATAACATTTATTTATTTTATCAACCTAAAACTGATAAAATAAGTAACTAATATGTATTGTGTACAATTAGATGTTATAATTTATATAATTATGTTTGATTTAGTTTAATGCGTGTTAATTAAAGAAAATATACTACACATTTCTAAACTGGACCCCCCCCCCCCAAAAAAAGAAAATCTTTGTTGTGCCACTGGTTTACGATACTATAGTACTATGGACATGAACAATATGAATACCTATTTAGGTATGTTCTGTCCGACTCCCGCATAATAGAAACGAAGCTTTTGAAACGCTTCTCAGACAACGATTCAGGGACAACAACAAAATGACCCTGCCATTGTAAGACGTACAGCTGTATAATATTATATAAGGTGATCCACCAACCATTCTCACCCTCTTTTTTTGTTTAATAATTCAAAACATGATTTTTAAACATATACGTATATAAAAACCCTATTTTGAACTGTTTTTGTAAAACCATTTTCCTTAGTCTAATCATTTCAATAACAGAAAAAATACTCTTACAAATTTTGAATTAAGTAAATCAAAAATATGTTCAAACAAAAATATCTGTTTAAAAGTTTTCATAGTAAAAAAAGATGAAGGGACTGTCATTTGAAAAGAAAAAGTTTGCGTTTCTACAGGACAACCTTTAGGTAGTTTTTAAAAACCTCAAAAATTTTAAAACAGTCTTTAAACACATTTATAAATTTCAAAAAGTTATGTTTTGAAAAACAGCGTTATTGTAGAAGATAACGTGAACGATCGTGCTTGGTGAAACACTCTGTATACAAATTTTACAATTCGAAATGAATTGCAAATGGAAAATTAAAATATATTATTCTATATTTTTATTGATTGATAATAAAAATGAACCGAATTTCGTTTATAGTCGGAGTTATACCTTCCATCCGTACACATGTAATGTGTGTGTGTGTGTGTGTGTGTGTGTGTGTGCGAGCATACATAGTGGCGGCGGCGATCGGAGAAATAATAAAGATAAACTAAAATAAAACGTTCGTATACACATATATTTCGAAACCGGTTAAAGCATAACCGGAAACCGAAAAGCGCCGAATGGTGTCAACGACTGATAGCAATAAAATACATTTGACTTTCGATAACTACAATATCATTGAATAACTATTAATGGTCAGCGCGACTTCGACAGCGAGGATGGGACTTTCAGAAATCCCGTGTCGGACACCGGTGTACACACATTTGTACACGTCACTCGACTGTTGTACAAGCCGGCCGCAGTGTATCGGTAAGTAGTGTTATTAAACATAATATTATACCAATGCCGTGGTTAACAAGGTATAGGCGTTCGATCGTGAATAATTGTGACAAATGAAAATCGAATCGGACACGGGTACCACGTGGATTTAGATAAATCGTGTTCGTCGTCGAGCTCGCGCGAGTTGATCGTCGAAAACCGTCCACCGTAATTCAATCGCGTGGTCATATATTATACAGAGTGATCCACCGAGCACGCTCTTCGCCCCCTTTTTTCCTTTGATTCATTTAAATTATGATCTTAGTAATATTTAAGTGTATACTTAAGGGCGCCACGTCATATTAAAGTATTTAGATATTTTTTACCACATTTTCCATAAATCATTAAGCCGATAACATTCTTTAATATTTCGATGTATTTAAATCACCATTTAAAAGGGTTGTCTCTGAATTAGTAAGCCGTATAATAGACTAAGGATGATAATCCTTAAAAACTGTTTCACTACAATTTGAGAAATTTAATATAATATTTAATGTAGTATATATTGATGATTATATCGGGACAATTTTCACAAATTATAAATGTCAATAGATAAAGTAAAATTGATTAGTACCTAGTCACTATAAATATATAATTATCATCCCCGTAATATCTTCTAAACCTTTTATCATTCTTTGTACAGAAAGTTGAAAAAGCTCCTTGTAAATCTATTATGTATATAACAACAAAGTTTTGAAAAAAAATTATCAGCTTAATAATTTCCAGGAAGAGGAGTGATTTCCATTTTTAAAATAAAGCCAGTATTTCCATAAAAGACAGGACATGTCCATGTGCATTCCTTCAAAGTAATAAAAAAATCTAAGTATTATGCATAGGTACGGACGTACGGTACTTGAGAATCCCAAAAATCAAAATTTGAATAAATGTATTATTAAACCGAAGCGATTCGGGTGAATCATCCTGTAAATTATTTATTTTAGATTTTATGGCCGGAGTAATATCGTAATAAGAAGATATTATATAAGAGAATCAAATTATTATTATTATTATTATTACCATCACGGATTATTTTGTACCGCGGTGTCGGAAATTATGTAGTAGATACTATCTTGTGATTTTATTTTAATAATATTACTATTCAAACGCATAATCCACCGTATCTGCTGTGTTGCAGGTAACACTGGAAAAATAATGACAAAATAGTTTCGAGCCATTACGATGCAGAAAAACCAACCCAGTTGAGATAAATATCAAAACTTTGACGTTTTACCGAAAAATAGCATTGATGGAAACATCTCGATACTGGTTTCTGATCCGGTTTAATAACCATGTACACATGGAATGATAAACGTTGTGAAACACTGTAATAAATAAGGCTGGTGTTTTAATTGCATTTTATTTAAATTGATGTACCACACGAGTACTAATTTAATTTCATGTCCAACTGCAGTAATTTCAAAAATAAATAAGTCAACAGTTAAAGTCTCACTTTTCCGTTTCAGCAAAACCGAACGAGTATAGGTATACCTATATAATAATATAAGAACAATAAATTATATCAATATTATTCATACACAAAAGGAAAAACGCATTTATGCGATATACCATAAATTCATACATCATTATGTGTACGTACACATATTATACGAATCGAGAAAATATGCGTTCAACGTGAGCTATATGGCCATAAATTATTAATAATAATGTTCTATTTGTTTATGAATATAATACCGTTGGACATTGAGTAAGATGTACGACTCGGCTGGAACTCACTTATTCATAAGCATTTCGTGAAATCGGTCGTATAGAAAATTCAATCGTTCAGTGTCCACAATTTGTGCTGCACACTCCTCGATCGCGCAATTATTTATTAAATTATGTTATTGCGTGCATCTACCTACATATTTTAATGAAAACAAAAATGTTTCAAAATACTAGACAAATATAATTAACGATGCAACATAAGATAGGTAGGTATATACATAAATATTACAAGCACATAATATATACCTACGTTTCGATTATAAATAAATTATAATAACGCATATTGATTTAATTTTCCCCTCTGACCGTTTGAAAAAAAAAATCGATATAGAATAGTGAATAAAAATAATATTTTATTATTTATTGTTTTTTATGCACGCGTACGTTACGTGTGTGTTGCGTATTGTGTAATCTAAATGAAAAATTATTATTTAGTATTTTAAACATTTGACATTGTACAGCTGTGACGTACACATTTATATTTTATATTAAATTAATATGGCTATGGGTATATGCTAAGGCGGAAAAATAAAAATAATATATTATTATTATATGAGAAATATTGCTTACACGCAAAATATATTAACATATACGCTGAAAACATTTTTTTTTTTTTAATAATATAAAAATGATAGACACTTTTGTAATAATAATATCATGTATAGGTATTCGTGTTTGAACTCCAAGAATAACTAAGAATATATTATTAATACGTTACGTGCTAATAACTGGTTGAGTATATTTACTTTGTAACTTTCAAATTCGTAACACATTATTATGTACCTATAATGATTCCCACCGTTTAGAATAAGACATAAAATATATTTTTATTCGCTATACGACCCTAAAGTGAAAACTCGTGAGACCGAAATAATATTGACAAATATCGATCTGGTGTCACTGCTACAGATGTCGTGTAACTGTAATAGTCTCGAGGCGTGCAGATGATGTAGCGTGATTTTGGCCAAAAAATTATTTGGAAATTTATGGTAATTTTTTTTAATGTGTTGAAGTGATTCAACTGATTGTACTGGTGATGGATAGAATGGTAAGTGGTAACTGGTTTAGCATGAGCAAATGACTTGAGTAAGATCTCAGCCTGCTACAGGATTCTACTTTCTGGTACGTGCAAATGTGCAATATGCTAAGGTATAACATTGTGGTAACCTCTATTACTAACCGCAAGATTCGGCCAATCGAAGTAGCATTTTTTTTTTTTTCGAAAATCGCAGTTCACGGCGCAGTCACTTTTATAGGCGAGATTCGTCAAAAGTAATGTGGTACGAAAAATCAATTTCCAATAATATTATTGTTGAATATTTCCCTTATAATGAATTGCGAAGAAAATCAAAAAAAACCTTTGGTCTCTCGCGGATGAATTTATAATTCCGTTATGTGTGGCCGGTGAAACGCCACGACGTCGTTCTTAGAATATACTATATGCAGGTATTAAAAACATAATTTAAATAATTAGATTTAAAAATAGTAATAACGTTATATAGGTACAAACATGTATAATAGAGGTATAGGTATATGAATTAAAAATGTTAAAATATTAGCATATTATATTATACAAATCAGGTAATTTATACGTCTCGCGTCGGACGACCGTATCATATATATAATAATGGAAAACGAATAGATCTGATAAAACTACGCGATATCTCCTGCACGATGAACTTTCACGCTCGCTGCAGGATAATAATATATAATATCGTCCGCGGTGGCAGTTTGTCGAGTAATAATTATTATATTTTCTGCATAATATTACTATTTCGCAATCAATTAAAAATAACCGCCCCGGCGGCCTGCGAGCTAAGACGGTTTTCTTCGCAATATTTGCATTACGCACAGTCTTGTGCGATTAGTATGGTGATTTTATTTCCAATAGAAACCTATATATAATATAATACCTCACTGTATAGGCAGGAAATGTAACTAGGTAGGTATATATATAAAGCAATAAATTACAAATAATAAGGTTATAGGTAGTTTTATTAGTGTTTTTAATTGCGGTAGCTGATATCGCATAACGATACGACCGAAAATGATACGTATTTTATACCACTAGAAACTTCGGTCGTGTCCCACCGCCAGATCGGTTAAAATCTCCAATAATTATTATTTTTTTTTCGTTTCAGAAGTCTGACACTATAATATAACCGTGGAAAAGAGTAGAGATTTTTGACCGGTCACGACGACAAACGTGCAAAATGTACAAACTACAAAACAACAATAACTATACAAAATCAGACTCTTCTGGATTCCCGGACACTCTAACATAATTGAAAATGAGCTCAATGATCTCGCAGCTAAAACCGCAATCAACTCCCCGCACTATCATCGTTAACACAAATCACTTCGTTCTGGGACATGCGAATGATAATAATATAAATAAATGCCAACCAATGATATGGCACCGGAAATAGACATCTTACCCGACTAAACTGAATCACATTTTAGAACATAACACTGAAAGTTAGACATTTCCCATCGAAATACGCAGACAATTTGGAGTTATCTTAACGAGACTCAGAATCGGACACACTGCCAAATCTGCCAAACTTTCTTTATGGCCAAGGAAAAACACCCGATATGCACAGCCCACCATGTCCAAGGCACCATCAATCTCATTTGTCACTGAACGCCGAATATAATAATATAACAACATCAGAACAAATACGAACCTGCCTGAATCATTAGTTGAAATATACTTCGCAATCATAATCATCCTCAATCAATATTGGACATCGTGAAGTGCGTTGCAGCCGGCAAAGTTCAAACCAACATTTTTTAAACCATTTAGAATAATAAGAAAAAAAGAAAAATATAATATGTAATTAATCAAATAATTTGTAAGCCGATGGTCTTTTAACAATAAAAAAAAAAAAAACAAAAACCTGCGAAGTAAGACGAGTACAGTACTGTTCCGAGGAAAATGTCGTTTTTCAAGCCGTTGTGAAGCCGTCGCCGCTTTTATCTGGTACATATTTTATGTATATATATATAGGTGAAAACAACATAATATAATACGTAATAAAAATAATACAACGACGCAAAATAAATAATATCTATTGAGTTTTTTTTTCTTTTTAGTGGAATAGTTTATCAAACTTTATCCATTCTGATATATACATAAAATAATGGAAAAACGTATATTCAAAATATAAAAATGCAAAACAAAAGTTTCATGCGTTTATATACGTTTTTTGACGCATGAACGAATTTTCGTGCTTGGGAAGCTATATGTTTTTTGTTGATAAATTCAGAAAAAATTACAATTTATGTATTTCAAACACGATACGAGCACTCGTATATAATAAAGTTACAACAACAACACCGGATTTCTGCAATCCAAAAAGCATAATATAGGTATATAATATGTAACGGACTTTTGTCCGTGACACACATATATATATATAAAAGTAACCATTTAGAGCTCAGTGTCGTTGCAGTTTTATCGTTGCCGAACAAACCCATCTTGACGTTCGATGCTCTGCGGTGCAGTCCGTCCGATATTATTGCCTTGAGACGACGGTCGACGATATTTTTTAAGAACGTCGTCGGCAAAACTCGTCGTCGAGACTAGTGCAGACTAACCGACCAGTGCAGCAGTGCTCACCAACAAAATAATAAAACGACCATCCGACGATGACGGTGATAATAATAATATGATATAATATAATAATTTAATACGTTCGGTATGCGTTTGCTTACACGTTTTCGCGCACAGCGTGGCGGCCACGACGGTCATACCTCTATATACCTACAATATAATATATAATAATCATAGTATTGCATTATTTCGCTCCTCGATCGGCGAGCACGACAGTCGGCCAAGCGTGTGCGTATTAAAATAATAATAATAATAATAACAACAACGGAGATAATATGTTATAATATTTGCATACGGTCGTGTGTGTACTTACATATCATTATTATTATTATTATTATATGGGTGTCGCCGGTTTAAACAGCGTCCGCGACACGTCTGCCAGGGCGAGGTGGGTCGACATGGTGCAGGGTACGAAGAAACGCGCGTGTCGTCGTACAAATCTTTCGACGTTATGTGCATAACCCCACCTAACCCATCCACCCCGTTTCGAGTGTAATATATGATGTGGCAACTGTATATATGCGTATAGTGTTACTATATACATATATATTGTGAGAACACGGCGGGTACAAGCCTCGCCGATAGGTACCTGTATGTACGCGTATATATATATATGTCTATAAGAGATACACGCCACACGCGAAGCGAACTCGCGTTTGTGTAGATTTTCGTGATTTTTGTAGATCAAAAATAAATTATAATCTCCACGCGTGCCATGCCCACTTCTTTGAAGCACACGACGTATACGCGGATATGTATAGACACCTAGATCGTGTTAAAGGTAAACGCAAATTTTCTCAAATAGTCTATCAACGTTTTTGGAAATATATTATTTTTTAACGTATCACGTCGTTTGAAGCCATTGTGAGTTAATTTATAATTCTCTATTTATAATCATTAAATTGTGTTTGCTTATTTTTTAACACCGTATTTAAAGCTATTAAGATGAGTAGTGGACCACTGATTTCCGAGCTCCACTCAGCTCATCGACACTTCAAATAAGTTACTCTGTATGTGAATTGCTTATATTATCCATAATATTAATAGTAACTATTCGGTCGAAATTCGATTTCTGTATATAGGTACAGAAGCCCTGCAAAATATTCTGCTGAGGAATACGGAGTGTAAAATGTATGCTGTCATTTAAAAAAAAGTACAAAGCTTAAAAATCGATGACAACAATAAAAAAAAAACATAATTTGTTTTTAAAAATTGTGTTTTGTAGTAATGAATGCAAAATATGTAAAACAAAAAATATATTTCTAACAACATTAATGTACGTCTTTTCCGAGAAAACAAGTGCTCACTTTTAAAAAAAATTAAACTATTGTGTAATGAATATGTATAGTAAATTATAATTTATAAGCCATTCGGTTCGGTGTCATAGTCTTTAGGTTTTTATATTTTTTTTTTCAAACATTATAGATTCTTGTTTCGCGTTCACTAGTAGAAACGATTGTACATAATAGGTTATAATAGGTACATATCAGTGATTTCAGAAGAATGCCTATAATATCCGTGGTGTGCAGGTAACGGACAAATCGTGTGCGTAGGACAGGTACATACAAATCCGAAAACCCGTACGCTGCCAGTGCCACCGGGATAACGTGCAATAAGTATACCTATAATATAATATTTTATTTCAGGCAATCGTTGTGTTAAATATAAACCTAATCGCATATACACTATTCACCTATGGAATAATAATAATAATAATAACGAAAAGCTAGCAGCACGTACACGGCACGCGTATTAAAATTATATTCAAACACGTCGTCGTGTCCGTGCACGTTATTTATGTTTATTTTTCTAGCGCACAATATGTGGTGTGTGCACGGCGAAACATTATCGACTCGAACCCGTCCCCAAGTTGGTACCTTATACCTGTAATATTATTATGGAAGAAAAAAAAAGTAATGAGCCGGACAGCTGATGACTTTACGTCTGACGCTGCGGACCGTGCAGGAGAGGAAGTACCCACATATTGGTCATCGGAGAACCGGAACGGTTAGGCGGACGTAACTGTATAGGCATGAGTTCGAGACGATATCATTACGTATGTATTATAGTTTTCTCGGATGAGAATCCGAAGGCAGGCACCAATACTGTCCACCCACCGGGTAGTTAAAAAGTTTAAGTTGAGTCAGAGGGCTGTTTTTTTAAAAGCACTATTATCCAGTCGATTCATTTTCCTCCTAGCTAATTGAGGACTTATATGAATAATATTGTATATAATGTAACTGACTGCAGTTGAAAAACTAGGATTTTTAATTTTTTTCAAATCATTTAAAACAAAACACAGAGTTTAAATTTAAAATGCTTTTGAATATTTTGGTTTCAATCGTCTAATGAGCATTGATACCTGTACAGTGCCCGTGGTAGACTGCAAATAATTTAGTGCCGCAATTTATTTATCTATATGTATTTACTATTAACTATTTTTTTAAATATTTAATTTGTGTTTATAACTATGTGCAAACTAATTTCAGTCAGAAAAACGAAACCCGGTCATAATAATAATAATACTTTATACTGCACCATATTATTTGACTTATTGGACATAAATATTAAATTGTATGCACAACGAGGAAAGAATCAGAAATTAAAAACCTAAGACTCGGTAGGTACCACATTATAAAGGATTTATTTTATTTGAAAGACGGATGTACAATTTAAAACTTCATGTCCCATCGACGGTACTGCTGCATTAGTAGTCTGACAATTTCAATTAAACCGACTTCTGCAGTATGAGAACTACACGGTTTAATGTGCGGAATGCGGATATTAATATTATCTAATCTACCATTAGGCATTAGTGCCTACCATAAACGGCTTAATCAAAAAAAAAAAAAAAGAAGATAATTCGTATTTTGTAAACATATTTTATAATTCGATATTTGAATACACAAACACCTAAATCCGCGGTCAACCGTGGTTTTGTAGCAGATACCTATAAACTAATTAGTTTATAGGTCTACGTCCTGTGTAGGCTTTAATCTTCAGTGCTTATTCCTAGAACCCGGCCTGTCTATAATATACGCTTAAAATGTAAACGACGCTAGTCGCGGTTTTTGGTTTTGAAATATTTCGATTCTATTTTTTTAGTTTTTTTAAGTTTTCCTCTGCCGACGTTTATATTTTAATGCATTAGCTCGTATTAATATAATGTATACGTTTATCGATGGCTCATATACTAATATATTATGTATAATATCGTGTTAAACGCATTCACTGCGTCCGAAATCAATTTGTAGATAACTAATTACGAGCGCGCAGTATCGACCGCTCGTATGGGTACTTAAGAGACGACGTTCCTGCCGCTTAATCTATAAACCTATTATAATATGGCATAAGTATATATTATGTTAGATATTCTGTAACAGGTAATAATGACTGTAAATAAATTTGGAGAGTATCGCAATGGCCGAGCAATTGAAAAAACACGAAAAAAACAAATATACATAATTTGTTCGCTATCTGTGTAGCACATAATATTATGTACTTCTGTAATGGTATAATATTTGTTTGAAGCGTTAAACAGTTTAACGAAGTATGCGATGAAAACGTCTTTATTTAATAGTAGGTACAACTGAGGTACACACATAACTTAATATAACTACATAAGTACATCGAATATATCAGTATTCAGTATATAATATGATGGTATTTACTATTTATGTAAATCAATCGTAAGCCCTGCTTTGTACCGATATAAGCTTTATCGTACATACTCGTGTATTTATTATTCACTCTCAAAACATAATATTATTATAACCGTAAACCTACTGCCGGAACAAAAAAAAAAAATGGGTAACAATTAATTCATCATTATTATAATATCAGAATTATAAAATTTACAAAATACCATGCATTCTATTAAACATATACTACCTATTATGCATTAATACTATTATATAATAATATACATTATGCACGGTCAAAAATGAAATGAAATTACGGTATGTTTCTCAATCATCCTCACCGTACCACAGATACATAATATTATATAGTATAGGAGAATAAAAACATTTTCGATGGAAAAATGTTAAAAGCACTACAAAGTTAATCAGTCATCAGGCAACTAAAATTATAGACACTAATAATTTATTATATCAAATAATTATTTAAAAATAAAAAAATATATCCCGAAGATGACCAGCAAAATAATTATACGAGTGACTAGATTAAACTGAACTTAGAAGTACCCATAGATAACCGACAATTGTAAAGCATAGAAATAAAAAATGTACTTAAAGTCTAGCGTATTGACTGCTAATTACTAGAATTAAAAGATGAATAATTTTCAAAATGTTAAATTCTATATGTATGCATCTTAAAACTAAATACCCATAGTTACACCTAGTCATTGTCTTAAAACACCTTCACTAAAGTTAATAAACAATTATTTAAGATTTATACATTATAAATATGCCATAATCATGTGAGGTACTCGTGAATTTTCTAACTGTTTACAAAATTAGGACAGCAAAATATCCACAATAGACGCTTCTTTAAATGAATTATCGAATGCGTAGTATTATAAGTACTTAGTAAAATAATACGTTTATACATTTTAGCACTGACTCGGTCAAAGTAGTCAAAGTATGATAATTGTATAGATGAAGGTTTTTCTTGTTGTTTTAAATAATACAATTATTGTGAGAACATATTTAATTATTTTAAACCAAAATGAAACTAATTCATTTTTTAACTATCTATGACAAAAAGCAAATTTACTTGATAAAATTGAATCTAAATTTTCAGAAATTATCTACTATTAAAAGTCATGCGAAAATTGGAAAATCTAAAAATAATGCTTAGTTTGTATGTGACAAAAAATGTGTATTGAAGTTGAAATCATTTTAAACTATCAAAACAAAGATAAAATTATATCGTTTTGAATTTTAAATTATCTAAAAATTAAAGCATTTTTTTTTTCATATAATAATATCGGTAATTACCGATCGTATGAAATTTCTGATACAGTCCTAGGTAGTTCGTCCGGATGATGTCCCCTGAAAACAAATCAACAGTTTTTCTACTAACAATGCATTCGTAGTATGTATCATTCCAAATTTTTGAGTGAATTTCCCGAAACATCGCCATTTGTAAATTAATATTAATTTATGGTTCGTCCGCTCCACGTTTGTGAAGATCCAAATTTTTAATATCACATACAACACTCTCATATTATATAGGTTTGGTTACTTGTATGCACTATGTACGTATAATGCTAGTCTCTATTTTACTGTTTTCATTTTTAAGTAATTAAATTATATTTTATCGCACTCAAAGTAAACTGCGCACAAGTTAAAGCAATATACAACATACTTTTTAACTGTTATAATATAATATCATAGCGCACGCACACAAATAAGGGCTGTATCGGAGTAGTGTTGCGATGTCAAGGACCGAAATGAAATATTTCATCATCCTATTGTATAAATGTTTTTTTTTTTTTTATACAACTCGACATAAGATGTTACATTGTGTGTTCGATATTATAAGTGACGAGACCAGTGATTAAGTCTCGAGAGTTTCACTTATCTTCGTTTTACCGACGCACTTATATTATAATATTTACTGAAAGCTCGGCGTCTATTTGTCGGGTAATACATAGGTATTAAGAGCCCATGCGAGACGCGTTCAGTATCACAATGTGACAATTTAAAATAATTACCTGAAAAGCTCAACGTACAGCCCGTCCGGGTTGCTTCCGCCGTTCGGTTCGATCATTTCCATCTGTGACGGACAACAGTCTTCCTGACCACCGACAGCGACCAGATATTCTTGGCTCTTACGACTAGACAGCCAATGGTGGTCGGCTACCTCTTCTTCTATCGACGCCTCTTCTACGCCTAACCTGAAAACCGTCGGTCGAGGGGTTTAAAATAACGATAATATTGTGTCTACACGGCAGTACGTGTGACAATGTCGTGTACAACACAACATATATATATATATATATATAGGTACCATTATATTAAGTGTATTATTTATTAATGAAACATATTAGAGCCGGTTCTCTCTCGCGTACCTATAACCGATAAACGACGACGAATAGTGGTTGTCCTCGGCCGCGGATTATGTCCGTACGTAAATATAATACGACGAGGGGGTTACAAAAATGTAAGCGCGTCGAGAGAGAAAAATAATATAACCGAAAAATTACAACGCAGACGGTTTTTTGAATGACTTTATGCAAATGTCTAACGAGCTCGGTCGCGATTTAAAAACGCTTTACTGTCTCGTAAAAATCTCGAGATTTTCTAGGCCTCACTGCGTATTATTACGTCCAATATTACAATATTTTAGTATATTATTTGCGTCGAGCGCGGCTATATTATAATATATAATATATGTGGAGTGAGTGTATAGGCCTGCAATTTCGACCGTCCAAAACGATCGTTTCACGTGGATTACACACACACACACACACACACACACACACACACACACACATACCCACTCGCATCAACATTTCGATTTCGAAGAAAAAGAAAATACTCGAACGAACCGAAACTAGTCTACCGGTATTATACAAGAGTACAAGTCGAGTACCTATCTATATGACGTCCCATACGGGTTATGCAAAGCAGCTTCGTTAAAAGCGGATAAATATATAAAACGGTAATAATATTATAATAATATTAACCGGTGATTTACGCGACATCGTTTTTCGGTCTACGCGGGCCCGGTTGCTGCGGCTGTAGCTGTATAGTCGTCGAGCACAGTATATATAGTATGGGCGAATATACGCTACCTGGCTATAATAATATAAAGACTATATGGCAAAAATAAACGATAATTTAAATAAATGGCTGTACATAAGTACATTATGTAGTATTAGTATGATGGTAATGTGCAGAGATACTTAACGACGACTGCTTTTTTTTTTTATTACAAAATAAAAATTGTTTACCAGTCTTGAGAGTTTTTGTTCAGACTTTTGTTGTTGCTCTGACGATGCGTTTCGTTCGACCAATCCGTGGGTAATATAGGTTCTGAAGCCGAATTTGCAAGCAAAACGCCAATTAATGTGATAAGCACCTGAAATAAAATAAAATATAATCATTAATATTAGGCCCGGCAACAGTTGATATTTAAAATATTTGAATTTGTAAATTTGTGGTATCAACTCTGCGACCGTATATTATTATAGGTATTGCACGTTCCTCGTGGATTATGTAATAGAGGTTTAACCTTTTTTTTTTAAATATTATAAATATGTTTTTGTACAATAATTATTTGTATTTCATATTATATAGTTGTTATTATTTTGTGTTTGTTCAGTCAAGTTGTTTTCTTACAAGTTTTCATTAGAAATTAAATACATAAATAATAATAATAATAAAATATGACGGTAAAACGCGTATAAAAAATAATATTTTATGTGAACTTAAACAGATCCTATAAAATTGTATAACGAATGAGTTATAGTTCAAACAGTTTTCACATGCCATAGGTATATAATTGTAAAACTAATATTGTATAAAAATAAATTTCAATATAGGTACTATGCGTCTTCTAGAAAATCATTTTTCCTAACCTTTATCAACACAGCTTACAGTGTATTTTTAGTTTTTTATTTTACCTTGGATATATTATTATACTGCAGATGTAATCCAGAAAAACAGTTCATTATAATAATGTGAAATCCTTAACATTATTATTATCCACATGCCAAGAGGCTTAAAAAATAAACCTATAAAAAAAAATAGAGCTATCTACCGCTATCCGAGTACCAGTGTAAACTCAAATAGGTACTATCGGAATAATGAAGTTGTATAGGATTATAATATATATTTTATGACACTAGCCAATAAAATTCCATATTTATGACTTTTTAACTACATCCTTAATTTCCTATCACACCTTTATTTCATAAATGTAAACGATAATATTAAAACTTTATTAAACATTCAATAAATCAAATGTACTATCGCGAAAACAAAACGAGTTCTTCTTTTATTTACTTTTGTGAGGCATGGCCACCACGGGGTGAGTTCCTAGAATATATTATACGCTAAAATAAAAACCTTCAACTCTCGAACCAACCATCTACCATATTAATGGTTATGACCTATGTAAAGCAGGTAGCTTACTATTAGGTTCGTCTGTAATATCACAAATTGATTTATTTACAAAATAAAAGACGATAATTTTTTCCATCGACATTTAGACATTTCCAACAATTGGAGTTTTTCCAATACACCTACATGGACTCAGCTGATGATATACTGCAGCTGATGGCTTTGCATATTTTATTTTATTTATTAGAAATGTATAATAAATAATCAATTTTTATAATATTTCAATATTGGTTACCCCAGCCCATAGGCGCCACTATATGAGAGGCTTGGATGCGTGCCCCCCCCCACAAGTATTTTCATAGCCCTACCAGTTGAAAATAATAAATATCATCAATATAAGAATTTCGTATTTGGTATATTTAGCTGCCCAAAAATTTTAAGTGCACTAAAGCCGAGATCGATATGGAAAAACTAAATATATATATATATATAAATAGGTTAATGAGTAATTAGTGATCTATTTCTCTTGAAACTAGCAGATAATATCATGTTACACGAAGATTTTTGTTTTTCTCCCGATATAGTTTATAAATTATAAATATTAGGCAATCTTAAATTTTTAATCGAAACTTAAATAAATAAAAAAATTATCTTTACAAATACAAATATATTTTATTAATCGTATTTTTAGAGTTTTTTAATACACACTCATAAAAGATAATATTTTCAGATTCTTGAGTTTTTGTATACTACTTAGTACTTAATGAATGCCTTGTGAAGAAGTCAACTTCTGTTTTTCAAATGAAAACAATCCATTTTTACTGACCACTATTTCGTGGATACATTTTTTTTAAATTATGATGTATATGATTCGACTAATTCCAAATTCTAACGAGTAGTTTTTCGGTTATTATAATGTGTTCGTATTAAAGATTATAATAGTCTTTAATATGGTTTTACAAAAGTATAAATTAGATGGAATATTGAATATAGTATTTCTGATATTCGAAAAGTTTCCATAAATTATAAATATTGATCGATCAATATAAATTACTTAAGTTGTAAATCACTATATAGTCCCAATATTTTTCAAATCTATTATCCTGAATACACGAAGTTGGACAACTTACAAATACTCGTTCAAATTTTTATTTTGATAGCTATGTCAAAATTTTCAGAAAAATTATCTTCTATAAATAATTTACTGTAATAATGGGGTGGTCATTTTAAAAACAGAAATTTAAGGCACACTTTCTGTAGTACAAAAATTTCAAAAATTTGTCAATATAGTCTGTAAGTTATGGTTGTCTGTCGCCTAATTTTACTTTACTTAAACCGAGACAAACATGGTCAGCACTATACGACATACGTTTGTAAGGAAAAAACTAAATCAACGATGCAGATCTAAATGAGTAATCGACAAAATTATCGATTAGTGATAATTGATCTCAAAATGTGTAGAGGCGAGCAGGAAAACAACCAATATACTATTCAATTAAAATATTGCCGTTACCTAGCCTGGAAAATATTTTTAAAAATAGATTTCAGTCGATAAAATAATCAACTATACCATTTTATTATTAATCAAAACATTATTTTTTTACAACTAGAAATGTTAAATAAAAAACAAAATGACAATATGTTAACATATTATACACTATTGTAGTTTGATTCCGGGACGATTGGCCCTTTTCAAAGTTCCTTATCGGGACGTAACACTCATGGTTACTTTAGTTCAAGTAGGTAAATGTTATACTTAAAAATTCCAAAAATCTGATTTCTGCATTATTGAAGAAAATACGGGGGGGGGCGCATGCTCGGTAAATCACCCTGTATAATATTCAGCTGCTGTTGTGAAGGTAATCAATAGGTACCCATACATACGTATAAGGTGTTAACCTGCAGTGCATCTGAATCTGCACGATTTTTGTCAAAAAGTCGCCGACTCGCCTTGTTGTTTTCCCGACAATCGAACGATTATTCAATCATCGGGTATACAATACTGTATATTATATATTTTGTAAAGCGACGATGTCCGCATAACTTCAGCGGAAAAAAAAACCACACGATCTGGGTAATATGTTTTTATTTGTACAACTGTCGCGTATCGTGGTAGTCGTTTTATAAAAAAAGAAATCGTCACAATAACCGATGGCGATATTCACGTGCCCAATAGGCGTCGGTAGGCATATTATAATGCGTAATCTCCCATAATCCCTATTTCACAATATAACACCCTGCCGTTGATATAGCTGTCGTCGTTGTAGCAATAACTAACGCGTGTTAGACATATAACTACGTCATTAACAGCGAGCGGGTGCGCGTGTCGTGCGATGTGCAGTTTTACGTTTCGTACCACATTGCACGAATAATAATAATATGTATAATGTCAGCAATTATTTAATATTAAGTCGCGCGGATGATAAATCACCTAGGTGTATCTAAATATAGAAGTATATTATGTTCGAATCGAGTCGCGCGATGTGCACCTATACCTACGTAATAAATTTGATTACGAAAACTGAAAAAAAAAAAAAAAAAAAAAAAAGAAGAAAAAAATCCGGCACCGAAGACGAAATGAAAGGGCACGGGAAATGGGTAGAAATTTTCGCGCTTATTCTGATTTACGAGTGGATTTAAAATTATAATCTCTCGCGCGTATGATGTATACCTACCGCTTGTACCAGATACCTATATATAGGTAACCATCATAATCTCTCGCCACGTGGATATTCGAGAGCGCGTCTGGCAGCTCGGCGCGCGAACATAATATAATATATAGTAATAATATCTCCTCCAAGTTGTAACAGGCCAACCAAGGTTTTCTTACGCACTCGTATATTATGTGAGTGTGTGTGTGTGTGTGTGTGTGTGTGTGTGTGTGTGTGTGTTTGTATATGATATTATGTGTATTTAAATTCGAAGGTATACGACTTGCACTTGGTAAACGTTCGGTTCGTAATAAACCTGGATTTAAAACGCACGAATAAAACATAGGTGGCATATTATATACAGGACGATTCATCAACCATGGTCACCCCCTTTTTTTTTCTTCGATACTGTGCAGTTATTAAAATTATGGTTTTGGCCTAAACTTAAAGACCATATATTTTCAAGCTCTTGATATTTGATGTGCAACTCAAGGGGAAAGAACTTTCAGCTGTGTAGGGAGAATATAATACGTCCAAGATAATGGGTTTAGAAGATATGGGGCTATGCTGATTTCAAAATCTTAGTAATTAACATTATTAATCAATAAATATTTAAAATTTGTAAAAACGGTCTGAGTGCAATAAATACAGGATCCGATATTAAGTACATCTGTTGTGTACTTCCGTAAAACAATTTCTAGGGAATCTTTTATCCTTGGTATAAACATGAGAATAAGTGAAAAACTACTTGTTCAAATTTTGATTTCGTTAAGAGCATCAATATTTTCAAAAATATTATCTACTAAATAATTTACAGTAAAAAAGGAGGTTCTCAATTGAAAAAATAGAAGTCTGTATCCTTACTGGACATTTTTTATGGATACCTAAATAGAACAAAATATTTCAAAAATGTTTAAATTTAATGGTCTTTAAGCGTATTTAAAAATTCCAAAAATCAAAATGAATTTCTCATCGATGTAAAAAGGGAGTCTGCATCACTCTGTATATACTGTGTGAAAGACCGTCTGAACTCTGAAGTAGGTAAATATTATATTTATATACTATTAAGTATATAATATATATTATAATAGGTATAGATATATACCTAATACGATTTAACGACTATATTATATTATATTCGTTTTTGTACCCACTATATATATCATATATTTATACATAGACACTTGTATGTAACGTAATATTAGATGCGTCCGATAATTTTATTATTATAAATCTTTGTTTAAAAAAAAAAAAAATGTTATTACGATTATTCTTAAATTTACGTTTACAAAAATAATCGAGTGTATTCGTATTTTTTTCCGAATTTCGAAACCTGTTACATACATATACGACCATTCTATAATAT